ATATATATATATATATATATATATATATATATATATATATATATATACTGCATTGTTCATACTAATCAATTCCAATAAGATATTTTCTCCTATCAAATTATTATTTACGACCACAGATTGTAACCACGCCTATGAAATACGTATGCTGCACCACTATGTGGTGAGAATGTGCATATTAACAACATATTAAAATACAATTCAATTCAGTTTATTTATATAGCACCAAGTCACAACAGAAGTTATCTCAGGACACTGAACAGAAATATCCAGAAAAAGAACACCCTTAAATTGTCACACCTGTTAATCATTAGAGCCCGTCCAATATATCGGTAGGGCCGATAATTTAGGCTGATACATTTAGGGACATATCTATGTCAGTCATAACTGTCCTATTATGTGCCAATATAAACACTTCTAATTTTCATCCCTAATATGCTGGAAACTGGTGTAATTGTACAATGTATCCAGCAGAGGGCGCATGAGGACTACTTTCACGTCATGGCCGTTCACTTAAGTTTCACTTTCAACATAGCCAAAGCAGGGAGCAATACTGTACAGCATATTTTTCTGAACAGAGCATAGCCAGTTTATTTTAACTGATCTGTAAAACAAAACAACAGTAATAAATTATCTTCAATCCCCCATCCTGCTTGTCATTAGCTACGTGCTTCTCAAGTTAGCAAGCTAACATTTAGATAACCTAGCATAGGCAATTGCCTTGTAAAACTTTATCCAGAACAATAAATCTAATGTAGAGGTAAAATACGGTATATAAGTGACAGTAATGTTATCTTTGTCGTCCTCAATGAGTGCATTGTCCGAAATCTGAAAAATGCTGCTGCAGCCAATACTAATTAGACCTTCATCATACATGAATGATGTTTAAACAATGAACAGGAAAGGGTGTTTCTTTGTTTAATTTATATTTTTGTAACACACTTGATAACTTTATGGTGAATAATGGAGGATAAAAATGTGATTGCACATTAGGAAGAGTGTTTTTATGATCAGTGCACCACTTGTAAACCTACTGCAACTAATTAAAGCCTAGATCTGATTAGCTTAGCTTCATGGTTGCTAACAGCTGCGCTAGATAAACAAGTCCTGCTCCACTTGTGGTTTTCTTAGATTTTTGAGGGTGGACAAAGCTCAAAACGTTTCAGCCTTTATATCAGTCATCGTGCCCAGTATCAGTATCAGTGATAGCCAAAATTTCTGTATCGGTTGGGCTCGAATAATCATAACTTTTGGTTTGTTACTTTTCAAACCTTTCAACACACAATCAAAATTAATGAAATTAAGCAGAATTAATTAAATTAATGAAAGCAAGAAGTGAGAATCACAGAAAATAACTATGAATTATTCTTAATTTTTCTGTGTAGACAAGAGGCATATGGTAAATACAGAAGAAAATCTGTTTTAAAAAAAATCTAGAACAGCATGGACAGGGCTTCAAAAAACTGAAAAGGCTATTTTGGTTGTGGTTTTCTAGTTGCTTTCTTACATTTTTTTAAAAAAAAGTCTAATTTTAACTAAAATGTTGGTGCACACAGGCACAGTGGCTCTTAGCTCTTGAAAAAAAGTGTATTAGCTTCCTTATGTTTCTTTTTGTTGTTTGTTTTGTTGTTGTTGTTGTTGGTATTGTGTTCAAGTATGCAGCGTGATGCAAAACATGCTTATGCACAGAGCTTCTAAACATAGGCCATTGCTGTCAGTCACCAATTATGGACAACTTGGAGCGAACAAACAATATCTCGCTGGACATAGTTAGATCACCGGACTCCACTTGGATTGTTATCTGTCTGTGGAAGTGTCGCAGGCGGATCAGTTCTACATCGGGGAAACTAAACATCCACTGGCCAAACGGATGGCCCAGAAGAGCAACAACATCAGGCCAGGACTCGGCAGTCCACATTCATCTCCAGGCCAGTGGTCACTCTTTCAGCAGGATGAAGATGTTCACATCCTTGATAGAGAGGAACGATGTTTTGAGAGAGTAGTGAAGGAGGCCATCTTTGTGAAAAGAAACCGTCCATCATTGAACAGGGGCGGAGGCCTCCATGTTCAACTGTCCCCCTCTTACAATGTTGTTATTGCTAGTATCACTCGATCCCCTGTGAACAGCAAGCAGCCATCAGAGCACTAAGGACCACTTGTTAGGCTGATGGTCCTCCTTTATCATGTGAACAGCTAGTTCTGGCTGTCACCAGCAAACTGTTTGATCCACTATGAGAAGATGCTGCTTATAAGACTGAGTTTATTACAGCTCTTTAGACTTAAGAAGTCTTGAATAAAAGATGAAACGTTTCAACAAGAATCCGTCCAGAGGAGCTTTTTAACAAATTTTTATTCTTCATTCCTGATTGCTGGGTCCCTTCACTGTTCTTACTGAGACAAAAAACAGAATGAAAATAAAAAGACAAGCTGGAAGTAGAAATATTAGTTGGGAAAAAGTTGTTTTATTTGTTTATACAGGTTGTTGAAGAGGAAGGTAAAAGTTCAAAGCCTTAATCTGTACTGTATATTCATATTTTCAGTCCTGAGTTTGTTTGTCCTCTGTAGATATAGGATTTGTTCTAGACTAACATTTCATCATTTTTCTTATTTACACTGGATGCTATATTCAGCTATTCAGAAGTTCAATATAATTATTATTTGACAACGTTGTTTATTTAAGATCTGTTTTCTTTATTGTATGCTGTTATTTTTCTTTCAGCTGCTCCCTTCTTCAGTGGTCGCTACACTCCTAGGGTTAATAAAAAAATTGCTAATTGTTTTATGCTGAATGCCATTCCTGATGCAACTTGGGCTCAAACCTGCAGCCTCAGGCCTACAAAGCTGTTGCACTGACGACTGCAGCCCTGGTTTTAATTGATCAAATAATATTGGTAAAAAATGTTCCCCTATCAGAAGCTGGCTGTATAGGACCAAATTTAGATTTTGTGTAAGCTATTTCTGGATATTTACATAGGTATTGTGACAATTATATGTGAAGGGAACGTGTCACCCTCACCAGGGCTTAATTTGAGCCGGCTCCTGCCGAAACAAAATCCAGGAACTCTCTTATGGGTGCTTCAGGTAACAGTTTGCAAAAAAAAAAAAAAGGTTGCTAGGATCCGGCTTGGATCCTGTAACTCTCAGACTTGCTAATAATAAAGTTATGAACAAATATGACTTCCTTGAATGAAAAAAAAAACTTATACTGGATATGTTAACTGAAAATAATTATATAAACACTCATTTTAAGCACAACAGCATATGATCTGTCTCTTCAAGTGAAGCATTTCCGCATCTTCCATTAAAGAAATCTCCACCCCTTAAAGAGTGAAGTGCTGAGCAGGCAGTCGTATGCGGGCAGGAGCCCACAGACAGCAGCAAGGCAGGCAGCTGGAGGTGTCACATGTGGAGTCAGACAACAACGAGCAGGGACAGAGTCGGGCTCAGGAGGACCAAGCAAAGGGACTGTCAAGTAAGGGGGGGGGGGGGGGGGGTTGACAGAAGCAGACATTTTTCAAATGTAGAAAAACGTAGTTGTTTGACAACCTGTTAAAATACACCAAAATGCAAAAAATAGCATCTACTTTATTAAAAATTTTCAGGTAGAGGATTGCCAGACTCCACCCACCCCCACTCCACCGCCGCACCACCCACTATCTGCATTTTGGCATCTATCGATTTACAAATCAAACCCTGCCCCACATTTAAAAAGTACTCATCTCACCCCCCCCCCCCCCCCCCCCCACACACACACACACACACACATATTAACTTAGTTCACCCAGCGCTATTTCTATTTAGTCATGAACGAATCCATTCCACTTGATTAATAAGATAATACTCAAACCACTAAAAGTGCACTCCGGGTCTTTCTGGTTACTTACAACAACTCACCACACCTCGTGCAGTGTTTCCTCTAGGTCACTTGCCTTAGCAGGATGCTCATCTCTGGGGTTTTTTGTTGTTTTTTTGAGGACAGGGTGGGTGGAGGAGACACACGTTAGCTTAGTGCAATGTCAGTGCCGATAGTTGTCGATCAGGGTGGGGGGTTATGATGCGTTAGGGTGCATGAGAGAAGTGAAGCGCTACATCTGTAGCATCTTTCTTAGCTAGCATGTGTCTGTGTTGTGCGCCGCTAGCTTAACGCTGCCTTAGGCCCTATTTACACGGACACGATGGGGGGAAACGTAGGTTTTTTCGTATGTTAATTAGAGGAAAAGATCCGCGTTGACACGGATGGATTTTGGGTTTACATGCATCCAAAGGAATCCCCCCCCGCCCTCCCAAATCCACTGTAGTTACCATGCCAGGTCATTAGACGGTGCTGTGAATTTTGTACCTTCACCTAATGCGCATGCGTGCTGCCTCGGCACGCTCCTTTCCTGTGAGCTAAAAAGCTCAGCTAACAACAACGTAACAACAAGCTAAAGCTGGATTCTGGCTGGATTGTGGATAAGAGTAGACAGATTTGACGCCAAGCGGGACCGCTTGGTCTAACAGCTCCACACCGGTCACTGAGTGGACCAGAAACGAGTCGACTTTACTCCATGATAATCAGTAGCTGTTTCACAGCAGGTAAATCAACATTCTTAATAATGTTAGTTTGTGTTTACTTCGGTTACAAAACAACCAACTGAGTTTTTATTTTTCCTGAAAGAAGAAGGAGCTGTCCTCCCACCAGGCGGGCTGGTTCTGAATGAGGCTCGGCCCAGGTGCAGTGCAGGAGGACGTTGAAGAGAGAAATGTTGGATGAACTAATTGTTTAAAATTCCCCTCAGTTCTCCATGTAAAGGGGGTATCCGTTACAGTACAGAAGTGTCTGTGGATGAGGTGAAAGCCCTGGCTTCTCTAATGACCTACAAGTGTGCCGTTGTTGATGTGCCATTTGGAGGAGCCAAAGCTGGAGTCAAGATCAACACGAAGAATTACTCTGATAATGAGCTGGAGAAGATTACCAGGAGATTCACTATTGAGCTGGCTAAGAAGGGTTTCATTGGGCCTGGCATCGATGTCCCAGCGCCTGACATGAGCACCGGAGAAAGGGAAATGTCCTGGATCGCAGACACTTATGCCAACACCATTGCACACACTGACATCAACGCGCATGCGTGCGTGACAGGAAAACCCATCAGCCAGGGAGGAATCCACGGGCGTATCTCTGCCACCGGTCGTGGAGTTTTCCACGGCATCGAGAACTTCATCAACGAAGCGTCTTATATGAGCATGCTGGGCTTCACACCTGGCTTCCAGGACAAGACCTTTGTCATCCAGGGCTTTGGTAATGTGGGTCTTCACTCCATGAGATACCTGCACAGGTTTGGCGCCAAGTGTGTCGGTGTTGGTGAGATCGATGGAGCCATCTACAACCCAGACGGGATCGACCCCAAACAGCTGGAGGACTATAAACTGCAACATGGCACCATTGTGGGCTTCCCAGGAGCCAAACCTTATGAAGGGAGCATTCTGGAGGCTGACTGCCACATCCTGATTCCTGCTGCCGGAGAAAAGCAGCTCACGCGCAATAATGCCCCCAGAATCAAAGCTAAGATTATTGCTGAGGGCGCCAATGGACCCACCACCCCAGGTGCTGACAAGATCTTCCTGGAGAACAACGTCATGGTGATTCCTGACATGTACCTGAATGCTGGTGGTGTGACCGTTTCTTACTTTGAGTGGCTGAAGAATCTCAATCATGTCAGTTATGGAAGACTGACCTTCAAATACGAGAGGGATTCAAACTACCACCTTCTTATGTCTGTGCAGGAGAGTTTGGAGAGGAAGTTTGGAAAGCAGGGCGGACCCATCCCCATCGTACCCACTGCTGACTTCCAGGCCAGAATTGCTGGTGCCTCTGAGAAAGACATTGTTCACTCTGGGTTGGCCTACACAATGGAGAGATCTGCTTGGCAAATCATGCGCACTGCCAGCAAGTACAACTTGGGATTGGACCTGCGGACAGCCGCCTACGTGAACGCCATCGAGAAGGTCTTCAAAGTGTACAACAAAGCGGGGCTCACCTTCACATAAACGGCCCGCGACCTGCACTGTTCTCCCGTCCTCCACCCTCCTGCTATCCATCGCTCTCTTCTGCTTCCACCTCCTAAAACAGCCTTCATATAACACAACATATCACTGTTTACTCGTTGTGCTTTCATTAACACACACACACACGCAGCGACGCATCAGCTAGCTCGGTATTGGTCCTGTGACGTTTGTGCTGCCGTCATATTTCTGCTGCTCTGTTTAAAAAGTCGCCCTGTTCTTTGATCCTGACTCAAGTTAAACTGAGACCTACATTCACAGACTCTGTGCCTCCTTCAGAAACCTGCTAAATGTTTATCTAGTTGTATAACAGCCATGTCCACAGCGCTCATATTATCGCTGTATGCATGCGTGACCTTCGTGTTGCCGTTGTCGGCTGACGCCACTAAAGATGCCTTATATCAGGAAGAGGTCAGATCTCAAAGGAGATCACCGCTTCAGTCTAATTTTAATTCAAAGGGATTTAGATGCAACTTTATGTGAATAAAAGTGAATACTATTTAAAAAAAAAAAAAAAATAAAAAAATAAAATAAATAAAAAAAAAAATAAAAAAAAATTCCCCTCAGTTCTTTTATTCAATCCATTCAATGTTTTAAGCTGCATTAATCAAAGGAGTGACTTCCTGAACGAGCCCGATGAACAACGTGGGACTTCCATACCGGATGAAAACATAAGTCCAGTTGTTCATTAACATAGTTTACAGTTAACTTGTTTTAATAGTGTGTTCAGTTTAATTATCAGTGTTTGTGTGACATACAGTTTGTGGTGTTGAATGAATAAATACAAATTAAACCTGATGTCTTCATTTTCAACTTTAATAACACGCTATGTTTAGCATCATTTTAAATTTGAATTACATGTCCAGATAGCTTAATTTAGCTCAGAGCTTCATTATATCTCTCACACTAACACAAATACTGTTTTTTTATTATTAAACTGTTATTATTTAGCACATTTAGTATGTTATAGTGCAGCGCGACTTGTGCGCGTGCCTCATTCTAGAAACAGCGACATTAGAACTGGATCTGACTGTGTCTCTTCCAACACAGATGTTGGGCACAGCACCTGGAATCTGATGTAGATTAACTACGAGATTAAAAATATATTCCATCAGTCGTAGTTCAGAAAGCAGTGTGTCCACCGCCATGTTGATAGAAATATAGCGTCTGTCTGCTCGTGTGTGTGCACATGTGGTTTAACACAAAGCCTCAGCGGGAGATGTTTACATTATCAGCGGGGGGTCAGCGAAAAACCTCCACTCTGGGTGGGTTGAAAAACCTCCGGATTCAAAGAGGGGGGCCAATGGTGTCGTGTAAATGATCAGCAGACCCGCAGAGAGAAAGCTGCGGATGTACTCAAAATACGCGCCGTGTAAACGGCTCCTTAAGCCCCCAGTATACTCCCGCGTATGTCCATACGCAGAGGTACGCACGTACGTACGCAGAGGTACGAGCGTACCCCCCAGGGCATGTCCGTGCAAAGCTCAATTTTTACGACCGCATACACGTACGCGGTGTCGCACAATAAACTGCGCGGCGACGGACTGTTTTGTATGCACACCAATGTATTAAATTCCTCTTCTTCATCCCTGATCTGGCCTTTTCTTTTGTTTTTTTTTTGCCAAGAGGCAGTGATCTCTTCCTCCTCTGTTGATGCCATGACTGAAATGGTGAGAAATGAAGGAATTTGACACGAGCGAATTAAACTCAGGTCCAGCGTGGCTGTGGGAGGTTCTGGAGATTTCCTGGTGGGCTGGTCTGATGTGTGTGCTGCAGGGCCAGCGCTCCCCGTTTTTTTTTTTTTTTTTAGATCTTTTTATTAACAACATATAAACATAGAACACTGCTGTGGCTGAGGCTGCCAGCGCTCGTTCCCTCTCCTCTCCCCCCCGACCTGTCAATCAATCCAATAGGTGTGTCAGCAAATGACCAATCGGCGACCTCAATTTGTCCTGAAGGTAAACGCCCCTTGTCTGTGAAGCTGCTCTGCTGCTGCTCGGGTTGTACGCTGGAGTCTGAAGTCTGAACCCTCTGCGTACAGTACACGTGAACGGACGTACGCGGCAGTATACTGGGGGCTTTAGTGACAGCAGTTGTCGACCAGTGGGGTGGGGGGACACGGGTGTTACGATGCGTGAGAGTAACGGAGCGTGCTCCATTTACACAAGGACAACAGTTGGTTAAACTTCTTGTTGTCTATTGTTGTCATCATTCTTTGTTGAAATCAGGTCTCTCTTGTAAATGAGTCCTCGAGGCTCAATGGGATTTACCTGTCTAAATAAAGGTTGAATGAAAAAAAAACCTTCTTGTTGTGCCGTGCTCTCTAAAATAGTTGTTGAATCAAGTGTTGGAGGTAAACATAGAGGCTTAACAACCCATTAAAATACAACAGAATGCAGGGAATAGCATCTGCTTTATTCAAGATTTGCATTTTGCACCCCCAGAACCCCCCCCCACCACCACCAGTGTGTCCCCCCACATTACAAGTATTCCTGACACCAGTGGCTATTTAGACAGTCATTTCTGGCAAAAGTATGCCAGTAAATGTGAATTCCATTTGTTGGAAACTTTAAATTTTCAATCAATATTAAAGTGGCACTTTGAGGTTGTCTTTTACCTTTGTTTCTTTTTGTGTGTGTGCTGATCAAGTTATTTGTGCGCCTTTGAGTGTGCCAGCATATGCCAACAAAGACAGTGTGTGTGCACAAATGGGAGAAGGCATATTTTTGTTGAGAAGGTAAAGGGAAAGGGAGGAGTAAGCATGGACCTAATCAGCCAATCAGGAGTCAGATTAAGAGTCTGGGAGGGCTGTGTTGGGTGGGCAGCCACCTCACAGAGAAAAGAAAAAACATCTTTGGCTAGCAACACAGCGACCAATGAAAATCTATAAAGATGCCAAAACAACTTTATACACCAATGACCCTGTCTGTGTGTGTCTCTGTGTGTGTGAAGACAGAGAAAATAAGACCAGGCAATAAATATATAAATAAATAAAAAATGCCAGCTCCAAGGATTTTTGGCAGCAGCCCAAATTTTTGTGTGTCTCCATGTGGGTGTGTGTACGTCTCACTCCACAGGCAGACAGTGCACAGACTTCTCTTCTAATTTGGCATGCTTCACTGTTTCGACGTGCACACGCTGCCTCCCCAAGTTTGTGTGATTGTGAGTAAATGTGTGTTTGAAACATGTCCTCATTGACTGTGCTTGTGTGTGTGTTTGGTGTGAGTGACAGCTCTGACCTTTTCAATATGCCTGTTAAACCTGAGCGCGTGTCCCAGCACAGACATGCCTGTGTCAACTCCTGCTCTCCTACATGAAGGTCAGACTGTTGGAATATTGGCATGCACACACATGCACACACCTCCATACAGTAAAAAGTGTTGCTCATCCTCTTGTTTTATCCCAAATTATGTTTCCTCTGCTTTCTCAATAACATGCCCAAGTAATTATCACTTTATACAGATATATAATATAGATATACTTTATACAAAGTGTGCCCAAACTTTTTCCCTGTGAGGCCCAAATTTAAAGTCTATCAGAGGGCTGCGGGCCAAATGCAATAATATAATATCCATCCATTATCTTTACCCGCTTGTTCCATTTTGGGTCACGGGGGTCGCTGGTGCCCATGTCCAGCAATCACTGTGCGAGGGGCGGGGTACATCCTGGATGGGTCGCAAGTCCATCACAGGGACACATAGAGACAAACTAGACAAACAACCATTCACTTTCTCACTCACACCTAAGGACAATTTAGAGTTACCAATCAGCCTAACATGCATGTTTTTGGTCTGTGGGAGGAAACCGGAGCACCTGGAGAAAACCCACGCATGCACGGAGAGAACATGCAAACTCCACCCAGAAAGGCCCCCGGACCAGGGTTTGAACCAGGGACCTGCTCGCTGAGAGGCAGCAGCTCTACCAGTTGCGCCTCTGTGCTGCCTATAATATAATATATGAAACGCAAATGATTATTTAAGTAAAGTATTTTTTATACAGTTATTTAACATTCTATTCTGTATAACGAACATTACAGAACACAAAATATAACAAATGTCATATATAAGAAATTAAAACAAATATTGAATTTTTAGCATTTAAGTATAACTACAATATATGTAGTGCAAAATGTAAAAAAAAATAATAATAATGCATGTCCAATAGCAGCACAACTTACCAGCAACAATAATATTAACATAAATAAACAGTCCCATATATAGTCAGTGGGCTGATATTTCCATCTAACATTAAAGTCAATGGGTGGAATAACTGAGTGAAAACACATGGATTCTTCAAAGGAAATTTTATTATAGTAACGAGGACAGCTTGATGGGCTAACTCAAATGGCTTGGCGGGCCAACTTTGGCCCACGGGCCCCACTTTGGACACTTATGCTTTATACAGTTATAGAATTGTGCCATTCAAGGTGGCTGCATGTTGAAGTAGCTGCTACTTTCATTCTGGGATATTGCTTTTGAAAACTTTATTCCCTCTTTTTTCAGGATGTAAATGGCTTTTTTGGATGATTACTTCCTCTGGTATCTGATGCTGTGCAGCTGGAAGGATTTTTACTGAAACCTTTTTACTTTTGGACATTTGTTATGAAGCATAACCATGACAACAAGGTGTTTTTTACGACTGGGAGCAACTGATTCACATCTCAAAGTTCAAATATTACCTCAAATCACCATCACAGACATCTACACCTCTAGATGCAGGAAGAGGGCTATCTGCATCATGAAGGACCTCACTCACCCAGCACACACACTTTTTGCCCCACTCCCCCCAGGAAGGAGGTTGAGGAGCATTAAGTGTAGAACCACTAGACTGAGGAACAGCTTATACCCTGAGGCTGTTAGACTCACGAATCTCTAACTAGAATAATCACTGTGAAAAACCACATCATGTTGCTGCTGATCTGTTTCATGTTGCTGCTGATCTGTTTAAATGTTGATGTGTTCATGCGTGCACATCCGCTCACTCAGACTCATGTTCATGTTTGTGCTGATGTTCAATGTTTTTATGTTATGAGTGCTTAGTGTATATTTAGTTGATGTTTTTCTTAGTTCATATCTTAGATGTTATTACTGTTTTTCTTATACATTTTATTGTTGGATGTA